GGCGGGGGGGGGGGGGGGGGGGGGGGGGGGGGGGAATATCCCATCAGGGACGAGAGTAAATGGGGAGGCACTCGTGAAGCAGGAGAGCATCCAGCCATCTACTTGCACCACGAGTGTGCTGCTCGAATGCGGTTTTTCATTCTTATATTACCAGATCTTAGGGCTTCACCGATGGACGCTTCGATGCAAAACTCTCACTCGGTCATGTTTGGTCATAGATTTATGTCAAAGTTAATCCCCAAAAAATGGCCAGTTTCCGAGAACGCTCAGAGCATCAAACCAACCAACATCAGACCAACTTCATCGCAACTCATTCTTTCCGGAACACACACCCATCCATCGGTGAAACCGACCCCCTAGTCACGAAACGAGTACGGAGAGAAACAACAGCTGAACCTTGCTCTTGCACCGTGCAGCATCGAGTGGAGCCCATCTGGGGCCATCCCGACCCAGCAGGCACCGTCGCGAGGCCATGAGCCCGTCTTGAGGGTCTGGATCGAGGCGTCGAAGCACCAGCTTCCCTTCGTCCAGGTACAACCGATGGGGGTCGTCCCGGGACGACCGGTCGCGTCCACGGCCGTCCTCGTCCCGCCGCACCCTGTTACCACCGGGAACGGCACCGAGAGGACACGGAACGTAGACCGTCTCACCGTGCGGGGTGGCCGGCCAGCTGAAGAAACCCAACGGGGAGTCCTCGCGGACGTCCTCGGGGCATCTCTCTAGAGAACGAAGGAAGCAGAAGCAAGAACCTGTGAGACCCGCTCCGCACGTGCACAACCACTGCAACACAGAGGGGAGGGGACGCCGGGGAGCCGACCGAATCAACCGGGTTGCCCAGGAGGGAATCCACATGCATGTCCAATTTCACCGGCGTGTCAACGGTTATCCGAGGCTCCAAGAGCCACATCGGCGGTTAAAAAAAATGGCAGAGAGGGGTAAGCGTTAACCGAGTGGTCGAATGTTAACCGAGCGGTCAGACGTCGACCGAGTCGAACCGTCGGGCAGAGGATATCTTGAGAGCCAGCCGTTCGGTGACGTGCCATTCTCTCGCACGCAGATTTCCTGATACGGTGTGCAAGCGCATCACGTCACGGCCGGACCTCAAGTTACCGCGGTCATTCGTGAACGAATCGGGACGAGAAAAAAAAATTAGTCGAGTAGCAATTCCATATCCAAAAATTTGCCTTGCCAGTGTGAGTCGAAAAAGAACGTGCCAAAAAAATAATTCAGCGGGGGACTGACCTCTCATCTCGCAGATCCGGCCCCGGTAACCCAGGGCGCAGCGGCACCGGAACCCATTGACCATGTCCTCGCAGACGCCCCCGTTCTGGCAGGGACTCGAGGCGCACTCGTCTGCGAATCGCAATGCCGAAACCGATTCGTTTAACCGATCGGGTTCACCGATGGGTTGGCAGGGGGTGGTGGTATGAGGGGGGGGGGGGGATTTAAAAAGGTCTCAAAAAAGTTGAAATTTCAAATTATTTTAAATTGTTTATTGTTTTCAAAATGTTTGCATAGTTTCTTTATTATAAAATTATGAGGAGTTTACAAGTCTGCATATTTTAATCTTCCAAATTTTTAAATATTCGCTTCTTATATCGTGCAACTGCGTCAAGGCTTTTCTTCGCTAAGATTTCCTTTTCCAAAAAAGAAAAAGGTCACACCGGAAGTTCTCAGACTTTCCGCCCTCAAATGAAGACGAACAAATGAAGCCCATTTTTGCATGCAATGTTGCTCGTGCGAATTTCGCCCGTTAAAATTCAGCGACACCGAAGCAGTTCGAGTGGAAGCAGGTAGTGACATCTAGCGAGCATCTAGTGAAATTCCGCCCCTTTGATCTTCGCGCATCACCGTCTAAAGCTGCACGTTTAGAAAAAAAATTAGTTGCCCAGAGATTTGAATTGCTTCCAATAAAATAAAGTTATTAAAAAAATTGTGCTGCTTTTTTTTGCATAATAGTTCGAAACTTGCAGAAGCAACCAAGTCCATTCGACCAATTCGCCTTCATTTGTAGGTAATAATAATAATAATAAATTTCAGAGAAATTCACTTCGAAGCGTGATGAAAAAAACTCCCGAGAATCCAATAATTCTCGCAAAATTCCTCTCTAATCTTTATATATATATATACATAATAATAATGATTGTTATAATAAAGAAAGACGCACCGATCTCAGATTCGCACTCCCTGCCTTGAAACCCCGGCGGGCACCGGCACTGGTACGCGTTCACGCCGTCCACGCACTCTCCCCCGTTGAGGCAGGGGCTGCTGGCGCACTCGTCCACTTCCTCCTCGCAGTGCGTGCCTGTGGGGGGAGGGGGGGAAGGGGAGGGGGGGGGGAGGGGGCAAATTTCAAATTTTAAATTTTTTGTGGTTTCTGGGTTTATTTGAAGAGGGCAGCACTGATCGAAAATTGAAGCGTTGCAGTTTTGTAACAAAGAGTTTACGCAGAAACTAAGTTGATTAAGTTTCGAATTAGCTCGATGAAGTCATTTCAAGCGGCTGAATATCTGCAATCCTGGTACCTATACGGTTAAGAAGGTTTTCCACTTCTTGAAACGCGTTGAAGGGATTTGGCATTTCTTGGCTTTGGCTCAGGGTTTTGCAGATTAGCAATCGCGGAGAAAATCGAGCGGGGCCGCAAGGACAAATACTTTTCTTTCTGTTCTTCGCAGAACTTGTGCAAAAAATTGTCTGCAAAAATTGTACAAATAGGCCATTCCTGATCGTTTTTTTACATAACCTTTCCTCGGTCTGCGAAAACCAGCGAACGCCTGCAGATTCGCCCAATGCTGAGAAAATTGGCCTGACATTCGCAATCGCGGAGTAGCGAGCACGCAAGTCGCCCTGGCAACACTCGCACGCAACCGCTCGCAACTCGGCTGCAAAAATTGCACAACGCTTCCCACACCCAAGGAACGCCGAGAACTACCCAATCAACCCAGCAAAAAAAAAAAAAAATGGCAGAGCCAAAAAATGTGCAAATCACCGTAGAAGCCGGGCGTGCAGACGCAACGATACTCGTCGTCCCCGTCCACGCACAGGCCCCCGTTCACGCACGGCGACCCGGCGCAGTCGTCCACGTTCACCTCACAATGGAAGCCTAACCACGAAAAAAAAAAAAAAACATTTCAAACAAACCCAAAACTACATATCTATATAAACACATATTTGTCCAAGGAAAAAAAAAAAGCNTTCACGCACGGCGACCCGGCGCAGTCGTCCACGTTCACCTCACAATGGAAGCCTAACCACGAAAAAAAAAAAAAACATTTCAAACAAACCCAAAACTACATATCTATATAAACACATATTTGCCCAAGGAAAAAAAAAAAGCGCCCCCGGGCCCCCAGCTTCCAGGCCACTGGGCCCGAAAATTAGTGTCATTCCAGTCTCGGACAATTCATTGTCCTTAATGAAGCCCGCTTGCGGCCATATGGAGTCGGAATTCCTTTCCACGGCATTCCTCTTCCAACATTTTTCGCCTCTCTGCATTCGGGGCATTTTGCATTATCGGTCGAGGGGAGTGCAACATGAAATTGGTAGCAATTTTTGCCGATAAGTAGGGGGCGAGCTGATGGCTCGATTGCCCCCCGCTGCCAGGTACTTATTTAGATTAATTAATTGCCTGGAAAGAGGGGATTAACATTCGATACCATTTAGTTACTTAATTTTAGAACTCGAGATATACCGTTTGAGTTTTTGAAATTCACAACTTAACAATATTTTTTTCTGCTTGAAAAACAGTAATTTTTGGGGATACCAAAATTCTGGTGAACTTCGAAGCACAATATACATTTTTTTAAATTCGATTCTGCGACTCGAGGAACAATGCCAGTCCCAACCGAGTCCCCACCAGTCCCCACCAGTCCCACCCGGGTCCACGAGCGACTGTTCGGGTCCATTACCAGACCAGGAAGTACGTAAATATTCGTACTTGCTACTTGAGGTGGAAGAATGAGACCCTGCTTTCCACTTCCTTCTACACCACGGCAATAACGCATATTTTGGCAGCGGTAGAGAGAAAGGCAATTGGCAATTTGGCAATTCCCTACGCAACTCCTAATTGCCAATTCGTTCCGACAATTGGCAACATCTTCTGACAAATCCCCTCAATCGGCAACAGATTCTGACCCAATTCCCTAATTGGCACGAGATTCTGACCACAGATGGGTTCACAGATGGGCTCACAGGCTGAGTTAACCGAATGAGTTAACAGATTGAGTTAACCGATTGAGGCAACAGATTGAGGCAACAGATTCCAGTTGCGTGGGACGACGTGGAAAAGGAAACATCTGGTCATTATAAACCAATTTGCAATCTGGGATTTGCATTCCCACTTCAGCTTCAACCCGATGCACGAGGATCCTTTTAAAGGTCCTTTAAAGGTCCTTTGAGGATCCTTCAAGGATCCTTTCCCACGCGAGGCTTGGTTTCCTCATCTTTTTTGCTCGAAAACCGCGAAGGAAACCCGAAGCGTATCGAGCATATGGGAATGTGCGGTTTGGGGCCAAAAGACCCCCTTTTTTCAACTCCATCAAATTAACGACCGACCGCAAAAAAAAAGGATTGCAAAAAAAAATAAAAATTGCAAAAATATTGTTTTTCCTCGCCTTGGAAGCCGGAGGGACACCGGCAGAGGAATTCCGTGCTGGATACGTTTTTGCACTGCCCCCCGTTGAGGCAAGGCCCCTGCGAGCAAGGATCGTAGAATTCGCACGTTTTCCCGTAGAATCCCTGCAGGCATTCGCATTCGTACACGTTGCTCTCCTCGCTGAAAATGAAACAAAATAAATAACAAATAAAATATAAATATAAGTATGAATATAAATATAATATATAAATAATATAAAATATAAAATAAATAATATAAAATATAAATAAAATAAAATATAAAATAAATAATATAAATAATATAAAATATAAATAAAATATAATATAAAATAAAAATGGCATCGGTGCGGAAGACCGGGCGGAAACAGAGGAAAGTGCATCAATCAGAGGAGAAAGGGAACGAAGATAAAAGCTTTTTTTTCATCTTAATCAATCATTCCTGTTGAAGGAGCAGGAGGGTCGGAGTCCGCCCACCCGAGAAAATCCACAATTCCCTTTCAAAACCATTTGCATCTGGAGCTGAAATTTCCATCCAAGCCCTCGAGACCTCACCCATTCCGGTCACCTTGTATTTTTCATGGCGACATTTTAAAGCAAAAAGGGGAGGAAAAAGGGAAGAAAAGTGGAGGAAAAAGGGGGAGGAAAGTACCTTTGGCATTTGGCTCCGTTGAGGCAGGGCGACGGCTGAATGGCGCAGGGATCGAAGAAGGAGCAATTGACGCCGTAAAAGCCGACCAGGCAATCGCAGTGGTAGGAGCTGTCGCTCTCGTTTCGACACGTTCCTGAGGGAATCGGCCTTCGAATTAGAGTCGTGCTGGAGGGGAACTCAAATTCCGAAGTAAACTTATGGATAAACTAATGGTAAATTAAGTGAATTATTAGAAATTAAATTAGATATGGCTACAGTTGCATGGGAACTTAATAGTTCAACTTAATAGTTCAACTCTTGATGATTCTTCCTATTTAAAAAAAAAGTAACAAAAAATCAATCAAAAAATAAATAAGGTAAATTTAACGTTGTAACTAACATTTAAAAAATTTCCGAAGACGGAAAATTCCATCTAAATAGGGCATTGCAAAACTTCACGTGTTGAAAAACACGTGATTAGAATCTCGGCCGTCGAGCCGGAAGTGCGATCGGTAAAGAGGTTCTCTCACCGAGGTTCTGGCAGGGTTTGTTGACGCAGGGGTCGAATCTGTCGCAGATGGCGCCGTAGTAGCCCGCGTCGCAGTCGCAGACGTAGCCCGGTCGGGATCCCAGGTTCCGACACTTCCCGCCCGGTCCGCAGTCGGCTCCGCTACAGTCTGCGTTCGTCGGGCATTTCGGGTGAGACGGGAAATTTCTCGGACGGAAAGGGCACGAAAGGTCGAGATGACGAAAAGATTTTATTCATTGTTTTAATCACCGGCAATAACTTTTTTCGTCGGTCGTCCGTATCCACTAATTCGGCATAGGTGCGAACATGCCGTTCTAACGAGTCGCCGGAATCGACATATTCCATTGAAACAGGAAGGTACAAACATCAGGGATCTCGAGCAGGGGTCTGCGCACCCACGTACTTCCATAATGACGGTGCAACCTACTTTCTGTTATACTGTTTACCCCAGCCCCAACCTCAACCCCAACTCCAACCTCAACCCCAACTCCAACCTCAACCCCAACTCCAACCTCAACCCCAACCCCAACTTTAACCCCAACCCCAACCTCAACCCCAACCCAAGTTTAACCCCAACCACAACCTCAACCCCAACCACAACCCCAACCTCAACCCCAACCCCAACCCCAACCTCAACCCCAACCCCAACCTCAACCCCAACCCCAACCTCAACCTTCAACCACAATCCCAATCCCAACTTCAAGTTCAAGTTCAAGTTCAACTTCAACTTCAACTTCAACCCCAACCCCAACCTGAACGGCCCTTGACTCTAACTCGAAATCGAGGAAATAACCGACCTAAAAGATAAGCGTGCCTGGAGACAAGCGTGAGAATATGTTAAGTATAGTACTAAGTACCCGAGGGCTAGAGCATTTACTGCGTAATCAGGTGGGATTGCGGTCCGTGCACTATCATGAAAACCGAGAGGAAACCGGGTTATGCACGCGCTGCACGAGAATAATAACCGAGGAGACGTCTCCTTCCACTCCCTCGAGTCTGGAGGTGCTCTACTAGCAAGCGGAGAGGTGCCCCACTGCCAAGCGGGGAGGCTGGCTCGCATCACGAATGGGGTCTAGAGGCCTGAGTCTAGAGTCTAGACCCCTGGCAGATTGATGTCATGCTGTTGCTTGATGGGCGAGGCGAAATACCCAAATATTTCCATTTTAACTCGGCGATACCTCATGGAATTATTAATTAATGAGGATTTCTTTGTTTGAGGCACCCGGGGAAAATAGTTCATAATTATTCTTATCTGCTTCGCCTTCTTTGCAGGAGAAAAAAATGTGGACGCTCACAATGAACTCGTAAATTTATTTTTATTTTTATCTTTTTTAGAAAACTGTCCTGGAGGAAAAATTTATTGTTTTGGGGAAAAGAACGTGGAATTTTTCCCCTAAAAAAAAAAATCCATGAGACCTTTTTGAAATGCAGGTCTTTACGACCAAAATCGTAATTCAATTATTTTTTCAGCATGCAGTTCAATTTTTCGCGCCATTTCAAAAAAGTTTAATCATATCATCGGCTTTTACATCATAGACAACTGTTCTTTGCACGGAGTTTGCCCATTGCCAATTCTCAGCGATTTCAGCACAAAATCACCCAGAATTCCTTTAACTTTTTTCCCTCCCTTTGTTTCTTTTTTGTGTAAGAAATGGAGAGGAAGAAAAAGAGAAAGGCTGGCTTCGATTGTCTCGGGTTTCCTATCGTGTTTGAAGATCCTTCCCCGTTTGAGGATCCTTCCCCGTTTGTCGAGCTCTAGAATTTCGAAAGAGGAAGAATAAAAAAGAGAAAGGAGACACCTGTGAAGAGAGCCTGATCATCGGCGGATCGGACGAAGACCGGCCCTTGACCTTCAAGGACATGTCCGCTTCGACGCATTCCAGGATAATAAGGTCATCTCGGAAAGGATTTTTATTTTCCCCGGCAACGTCGTGCTCGGAAGGAGTCATGAAAAGACTGTCGCACGTGGGCGTGTACGCGTCACGCACGCACGTACATTCCTCCCGGCGACATCTCGCATCACGCACGAATCCTCGCCCCGATTTTCTCGGACCGGAACTTCGAGCGAAATTGCAGCGGCCCGAGGCGGAAAGTCTCCGCAAAAACGCTCGGCAAATTGCCTTGCAAATTGCCGTGATTGATTCCGGGGAGAGAAATCGCTTCCCGCCAACGGTAGCGACAGTTGAAAGCAGTTACCGAACGGTAGAGACATTAAAAAGGAGGAAACACGTCCACCCGCAAACGCTTTGTCACAATCGCAAACAATTTGCAGTCCTTGTTTGCAATCACCAGTCCACAGGTGAGAACTGCCTCCAGGAAAAAAAAAGCCTTTATTTATTTTTTTTTCATTTTTTTTTCTTCGCTCGAAGGTCCCTCATGGGAAGGCCACGGGAACTTCCCACGAGGATCGATCCTCGAATCGATTGATTCGTCCCCCCCCGACCTCGAAGGCCCACCACGCGAAGGTCCCTTCGACCGAGCCATCCGGTCACGGAATCCCGAAATTCCGGGTGGAACCGACTGTTACGCGCCAATCGGGCTTCACCTTCAATTCTCCCCGATTATCCCCGTTTCACAGATAATCGCGGATTTCCGAATTCTTTTGTCTCCACCGGCACGTCACGCACTCAAAATCCCACATAACATGGGGGAAGAAAAAAAATCGAATTGAAAAATTTTCCTTATTTTAAGCTGCATTACCCCCCCACTCCCCCCGATCAGCTGATGGAACTCACAGTCGGGTCTTGTGTTGAAGGTCCCTCTCGGGCTGGAGATGCCGACCTCCTCCCCGTTCCATCCGTACACCGTGTATTCGTATTCCGTCCACGCCTTCAGTCCGCGGAGATCTGCACACTCTTTCCCCTGCATTCGCCGCGAACAATCGCAGATTCAATCGATCCGTCCAAACGCTAATAAATGTTTTAGCCTTCTGTTAATTACTCGGGATCGTTAATCACCCGGTCGAATCATTTTAATTCGTTCGAATGATTTTTTAATGCCAACCCGTTGCGATGGAGCCAAAAGAGAAAATTCCCGCGTTTCTCGGCCGCGAAAAGTCGGCGATTGAATTAATATGGGAGTCGTGTCGGAGCGGTCCCGTTTCGTCGATTAACGCGGAAACGAGCTTCGTCCGAGGAAGACCGGAATGAGAAAAGTGCCAGAGGGGATTGTATGGGTGCCAGAGGGGATGGGACTTCTGCGGGTGCCACTCCTGACCCACTTCTGCTGTTCCGGCGTCCAAACAGGCGTCCAAACGGGCGTCCTAACAGGCGTCCTAACAGGCGTCCTAACGACTATACGACCCCGCAAGCCGCTTCCGCGTCCCTTTCGGACGCGGTTCGTGGCGTGACGTCGGCTCCGCGTTCGACGGGCGCGAAAAGGTATGATGAAAGACTCATTGTTGCCGCGACCTCGTTCCTTCCTTTCTCCGATATGACCAACAGCGAAATGGCCAACTGTGAAATATCTCCCATTCTTCCCACAGAAAAACACGATTATTTCTCTTTGAAGGAAACGCGATCGCGGCGACCGTGAAAAACGGCCGTCGCTCCTCCCACAAAAAAAAATAGTAAAAACCGAGAAACGACGGGCCGAGACGACACCCGATCTCGTCCCGGTCTGATAATCCGCCCTGATAATCCCCTCATCTAGACCTTGAAGCGATGCAGCGACTGCGCCGTCAGGTTGAGCTCCCGGCTGATGAGATCCTGCAGCGATTCCCGGAACCGGACGAGATACCCCTGGACCCGCCCCGCCGTCGGGGCCAGCCAGCACAGCGTCACCGAGTCCTCCGTCGCCCGGAGGCTCTCCACCGAGTGAGGCGCTGCAGAGAGGATCAAATTCGTGCAACGTTTCATTTTTTATTTAATATGAAATTGTATGGAGAATTTAATATAAAATTGTATAGAAAATTTACTGTAAAATTGTATGGAGAATTTAACATAAAATTGTACGGAAAATGTAATATAAAATTGTATGGAAATTTATATTGAAATGTATGGAAAATTTATGCAAAAATTATGGCTAATATGTTCCATGGAACAAAGAAGGATCGATAATGATGTTGAACGGGGGCGGGCTGTATAATGAGGGGGGAAAGCTGACTTCTCAATCACTAATGAGACGAGTCACTCCATAAATGACAAGAGCAGGTTGCCTGTAAACAGTCGAGACCGATGAGGCAACATCCCGCGAGATGGCCGCAGACGCGGGAAAGAAACTGGGGGAGGGGGGGGAAGGGACACGGCATTCTGTTTCCCCCCTTGGGGCAGGGGGTTACTTGCTGCCTTATCACTTATCGCGTTACTGCTTGTCCAGCATGACCTCATACATGAAACAAAAGCATGCGGATGGGGGTCAGGATCCATGGAAACACAGACACCCTTTATGTGCACCGATTTGTAAAACGAGGCCTGCCTGGGCGTGGGGGCATTACGTAAAAAAAAAAAATCCGGAAACCGGA